AGGAGTCTTCGTATAGCGAACTCATAAAAACACTCGAAAGAAATGTGAGTAAGCAATTTGACCCTTTCATGCTCGAAATATATTCGCATTAATTATCATCAATTTTATTTAAATTATTGATATAAAAATATTGATTTCTGAGATATGTTTTTCAATTGCTTAGCATGAAAGAGTTAAAAAATTAACAACCATGATTGATAGTTATTAAAAAATAAAAAAAAATTAAAAAAAATGGAAAAGTGCATTACTTGAAGAATTAATTTAAAAAGATGTAAATAAATGAGCAACACAACACAACGCATTGTCAACATTTATTTAGGTAGCGATCTTACGAATAGAAAATCACTATAATTTAAAAATCAATTACGAATTGGATATTAAACTCATGTGGTTTCATAATATATCACGTAGTCTCACAGATAAACTTAATTCTTTATGGAAATTAGCTGAAGCATATCAACCAACAGAAAATGAAATAAAACAATTTGCTGATCAAATTTCAAATTCGTGGACTTGTGTAAATCGTCAGGTAATATGTTTTATTCTTAAAATACATTTTTTTATTGTCTGGATTATATATTTTCACTTCCTTTAGTTTAATCTATTTTAATTTCAAAATAACAAAATTTTGTTGAAAAAAAATATAAAAACTTTTAAATCATAAAATATACATATTTATGTAGATTTATGAAAAATATTCTAAGATTCGAATGGCTAGTCGAACATTACATGGAGTACCATTATCATTACTTCTGGATAAGATAAAAAAAGAAATTTTTCTATTGAAACAAATTTGTGAATCTGCTTATGATCATGAATACATATTAAAAGGGTACAAGTTAATTAACGAAAGCGAAGAACTTATAAACATTTTAAAAAAGTGTGACAGCAAGGTAAAAAGCCTGCTTACTTTCTTAAAAATATAGATATTAATATTTAATATAAGTTAGATAACAAAATAATAAGGTAATATTTTTCAAATTACAGTTACAGCAATACTTGTCTATATCAAATATTACTCCACATTTAATAAAATTGGAATCTGCAATTGACAAATATGTTACCAATGTTGAATTATTACCTACAAAAAAATCATTTTTACCTGACTTAAATATTTTTTCGTTAGTTGCGAAATTATTGACTGGTGAATTACTCGGTTATGAATCTATAGATCCTAATTACGTTCTAATCGAAAATATGCCTAAAAAACCGGTCTTTATTATCAAAAATGTTAAACGTAAAACGATTTATCCATATTATCCAACATAAAAAGCATTTGTAATATGTATATAGTTTTAGATTTAAAATATTAAAAATATTCAAAATAAACTATTGTATGTCTAGATGTACATAATTCTTAAATAAGGATGAATTTAATTAATTATTTTCTTTATTTATTTGATTGATATTTGGCAACTGCACACTGAACAAATGAAATTTATATTAAGTAAAAGTATACAAATTTTTATCTATACAATACATAATATAATTATATTAATTTACAATATACAAATATTTTGAATCCTACTAAGAAAAATTATTTAAATATACAGAAGTTTGAAAAGTTAAAGATATAATAAAACTGGATGGCATATTTTTTATATTTATAAAAAGGAGCCTCTTAAAAACGATTATAATTTAATTTTTCATATGAAATATAATAAGAGAACAATGTATTATATTCATGGAATGAAAAGTAAAAAGTCCAATGTAATGTACATGTATAACACAGCAATTTTTACTAACTAAATCATTACACATTAGTGTATGATTATAATGAATGTAATATCAAATTTTTATATTCAAAGACTAGATTAAAAGATACCCTCAAGATCTGGTAAAGAAGTAGGTGGTGCAAGTCTTAAAGAAAGATCTTTATTCCGCATAAATTCTGGTGGTAGAATTTGTTTGTGTTCCTAAAAAACAAAAAATTTCAATTTGAATATACTTAATTTCTATATATATATTTTGATAAAACAATGAAATGAAATATGTAATGAAAACAAAATCAAAACATTATTTACATGGAATGATTTAGTACTATGTATAATATTAGTAACTATAGGTGCCCATCCTTTAGAATTTAAACATTTATAACAAGATTTAGGTTCTCCCAAACATTCCGAATGAAAACCATGTCCACAACTGAAAACTATTATATAATCTGTACATTGTGATAACAAATGTCTACATATTGGACATATTACTGATATACTGGCACAAGCTTTTCCCGCATCTCTATAAAATAAAAATGTTAGTATTAAATAATTATTATTTTTAGAATTCTTCATTAATTTTTACAATTATTTAATACCTAAGTGATTTTTTCAGTGCTTTGTGAAGTTCCAAGCTGACTAAACGTGCAGTAGTTTCAACTAAAGTTTGTTCATATCGAGAATGTGTAAGTACTCCAGATAATAATTGTCTTATATCACCTATTGTTCCACTTGTTGCCAATGGATGCTTTAATATTTGTTCTAATACAGTCGATAATGCTGTTGTACCACTAAGAAATTCTAATGCAATTCTTAATAACTTTCCACTTAATTTTTCAACTGTAATGTATATACATTACTATAATAATATTATAGTAATCTTATTTTTATATATATATATATATTTATATATAATTTAATAAATTTTTTATATTTTACATATTAATATTTATCATATAAGTTTATATTTTTTTAATAAAATGACACAAATGATTAGAAACTATTACCATTAGATATCGACATCAAAATATAATATACCTTTTTCATCGTTACTATTTGAATGTGTTTGAAGTATAGTTTCCACAAGTGGCATCCAATCTAAATTTCCTGCTGATCGTCTGCATATTCCGGCAAGTTGTATTGCGCTATGAATTGGTACATTTTCTGATACTTTGTTTTGACAATACTAAAAATAAATTTTATTAAAATACATATAATATAATTAATATTTTATTATTTTCATAAAATATACCAATTCCAAATTATGTTGAAATTCTTTTAAAAGAATATCAAATGCATCCTGATAATTGCCCAATTTTTCTAACATTACTGCTTCAGCATCTTTGTGATTTGCTTTTTGAACTATTTGTAATGCTTCATTCAATCTACAGCCATGAAATCCTTGAATATGTTCAACAACCTAAATTAAAAAGAATAATTTATATATAAATTAAAATTAATAATTAATATATTTTAACATTTTGATACATTATAAGATTTTACTAACATGATCCGGTTGAAATTCGCACATTAATTCTAAATATTTTTCTAACATTTCAGTCGTAAGCTCTAATGTGATATCTTCTTCTTTATATTGTACTATTTGATATAGAGCTTCTAGTAAAGCATATTGCAAATTTGGATTTTTTAATTTTTGTAACATTTCAGAAGCTTTATTTTGTAAATGTGTTGCTATCAATATAGCAAATTGATTTGCATTAATTTCCACTAGAGCTTCTGCATTTTGCATTACAACTTCTTGCAATGAATTTGAAGAAAGATGTTTTAACCAGACCCAAATATCATGATGTCGAGATGGATGCATTATCATACATTTACAAACTGCAATCCAATCTTCTCTAGCACTATATAATAATTCCGCAACACGCATACTGTAACATTACATACTACGATACAAGTTACTATGTATAACTATGTATATACTATGTATATTATGTATACTACATATATTTATTAATATTAATAATATTATTTTTCAGAATATTGAAAAATATATTATAATTTTTTTTATTATGAATATATTCTATCTTTATCGAATATTTGAAAAATAAAATACACAATTTAATTTAAATTACAATATATAATACAAAATTTAATACTGCATTATATTTATAATATTCTTAATTTTATATGTTTATATTCACACACACACACACACACACATACATATATATATATATATATATA